GGGGAGTGGGCGGGGTAGTCACCCGATTTCACCCATTTTCACACTGTCGATAGAGGTGCTAAGGACATTTGTTATCAGTGAATTTTATCATTATTGCTTTAACGGTTTAGGAGATATGCACACCACTTTTTAAAACTGCAGATGCCCCTCCCTAATGTGATCCTGTATACCAAATAACAGTCTTGTATTTTATTGTGGAGCTTAGTAATGGCAATTTATTTGTTTTTGATTAATGGCGTTTTGTGGGCGTTATGCCCATCTGCAATACCAACCGTCTTACGTTACCAGAAACATGTGTAGCAAGTTTCATAAAGATATCTTAATTTTTAAAGTTACAGCTTGCACAGGCGGACGGATGGACAGACAGTCAGCCGGATTTCAACTCGTATCTTCATCCTGATTATTTATATATATATAACCCTATATCTAACTCGATTCGTTTTAGGTGATACAAACAACCTTTAGGTGAACAAAACTATTATACTCTGTGGTAACTTGTTGCGAGAGTATAAAAATGTCGTCTATATATTGTTCAAATAGTTATAAGTTAAATGCATACACTAAAAAATGTTTACATCGAATTGGGCTTTTATTCCAATGGTCGATGCAGAAGCATATTGGATCACATATTTTGAAATTTTCCTTACTTGTATAGTATTATATGCAATACCCCACTTTCCGTTATAATAGATGCAAATGGGTCTAAATATCTCTTTAGTGAATAATGAAATATTTAGTTTAGTATTGGTGGGTACAGATAGAATTAGAACAAATTGATTAACTTCGTTTTAGACATATAAATCGATTAAGTATACTATAGTCCACCTATTTATCCGAAAGGAAAACAAAGTTATAGTATCCTAGTGAATAACGTGCCTAGCATAAACATGCAAATTCACAACAATAAGGTCAACATTCTATACCTTTGAATTTAAAATTCTTATCAAAAAGTTTGTGGTTTCACTATTTAAGAAAGCGGAAGGAAGCGTAAAAATGCAAAAGCAAAATGCCAAAGTCATAAAAAAGCTGAATGCGCAGATTAGGCTTACTTGAATGTAGGGTGGTATCAATGTAGCGGCGGTTTCGAATGTTATTGTTATTCTTTGTGTTGTTTTTTCTGTGTCGGTTGGTTAGCCATTATTGCCGCTATTATTACTACTTTACTTGTTTTTGCTGGTAGAAATAGCCGCATTTGCAATAGTGCGAAATTGGTAAAGTTTGAGAAAAATGTATTCTTTCTTTCGAGGCGGCTGCCTTTTTCACTTCGAATTGTAGGCGGCGGAGGGTTTGGTGCTATTATCAGTACTAAGAACTAGAAATTCGCGGAAGGAGTCAAGGGAATGAAAAAACCACGGAGTTTGTAAAAAGCTGAGTCGATTTAGCCATGCCCCTCTGTCTGTATATGGTATACGCAAACTATAGCATACACCTGCGGCCACGCACAACTTGACCCCATTTCTCCTGTGGAAGGTACATCGTTTGGTTCGACACCTAAATCCAAAAAGGCCACTTGAAGAACCATCATCATATCGACCTCTGTGCATGCTCGACACGATTGGTAAAATGTACGAAAGCATAGTAAGAAACCGCTTGGAGTTAGCAATCCAAAAAGCCGGCGGATTATTAGAGAAGCAATACGACTTTATAAAAAAAAGGTCCACTATTGACGCAACAAGAGAAGTCGATGATACGACAAAATTTGCAATAAGTGGGAAAATATGGAAAGGTGGTATAAAAAAATATTGCGCGCTAATTACCGTAGATGTGAAGAATACATTCAACTCTGCGAAATGGGCAAATATCATCAAAGCTCTGTACAAAATACGCCCTTCCCCATGCCTCATTAATATTATTATGATCTTTTTTGAGAATAGAAGATTGCTATTCGACACGAATGAAGGCACCCAGAGCTATTTTATTTCGAGTGGTGTACCGCATGGTTCGATTTTAGGCCTCCTTCTATGGAATCTGATGTACGGCGGGGTGCTAAAAATACATCAACAACGATCCGTGGTGTAATATTGGACTCAAGACTAAAATTTAAGGAGCCCTTAGAAAATACGACAGGTAAAGCAAATAAAATATATAATGCATTATATATAATGATGGCAAATAAGGGCTGTGTGCCGTCGGTTTCTTACCCGTATTTTGTATGATTTTGCCACGCTTATTCCAAATCTGTAGTAAGTTTTTCTAGCAGCTTTAGTTTTCGAAATTTGAATGTAATACATTTTAGCCAAAATAGTACAATTTTAGAAAATGAAATTATATTTATCTTACTTAACATGAAAAAAGTTTTCTTTTATGTGCTTTTCATGCATAAATAGAAACATCAGTCTTGTTTTGAATGCTCCAGCAGTAATCACCGACCACAATTGCATTCCAACGTTCTTTGGTATCGCTTTTAAGCGAAAATCTGAAAACTAAACTTGGCGATAGTGTCACGGTTGAAAGTTTTACAGCAATTTTGTATGAGTCTTCTGTTAAATGGAAGGCTGTCAGTGGAGCGTCAGAATATTCATCAGTATCAATGTCTTCTTCTCTCCTATGAAGTAACACTTAGTCCAGTAATTCCTTGGGAGAGCTATGAGATGGGAGTATATAAGGTTAGCGAATTATTTCCGCACTCCGGCTTTCGATGCACATACTATAAAAAAAACGCACAACTTACCATTCAAAAATTTCACATGTTATGCATCTTTGGCAACACTTTATAGCGGTACTTATCTCTGCAGTATGTTGCTACAGAGTAGCAATAGTTTTGTTCACCTAACGGTTAACTAAACATTTTCAATTATTCCCACAAGGTCCTTTGACGTTAAAACATTTTTTGCCTATTTTGTTTTGGTGAACATGTGGAACCACCGACGCATTTTACCATGAATTAGATCCTTGTAACAAATGTATCAAGCCACACATATGCACACTTCTGTGATCGGAAAATATAAAACGCATACACAAAAAAAGTTTTCACAACACAAGCATATCGATTAGAGGTCGTTTGAAAGCTTTGGCGACCTGCTGTCGTTGATGGTGTTCTTGTCGCTAGAAGGGACTATGCGGTCATGTAATTATCAGTTGTTGGGCAGCCAACAAAGGATGCCAATGCAATGCTAACACATATAATCAGACGTCGAACGAACAAGAGAAAAACGAAAACCAAAACACAAGCAATAGTGTTGGAATAATAATGTGCGGACATAGCCATACTAACCAGCAAACATTTTGTATTTATGTGCGTGCATGTGTGTACTTGCGTATGAGAGTATGGAAATGTCGGCAACAAATCGCGTTCACCACGAACGTCAATATTCATGCTGGACAATTCCAGTGGACACAAACATACACGCCATGGTGATCGATAGAAAATAATATTGTGGGAAGAGTTGTTACGAGCTTAGAAAATGTGGCTTCTGGTTGTTAAGGCCGCCGGTTGGTGTGTTTTATGTGAACCACAGCACCACACATAATGTTAGCCTTTGACTTGCTAACTCCCCACAGGCTACAATTGTTATTGTTGTTGGTCAGTTAGTAGCGGGTTTTCTCAAATTGAAATCTCGTTAACAATATATTGGCAAACGGAGAGTGGATGCTGCTTTGCTCACATCATATTGTCGTACGTGGCGCTAATCTTTGTCCAACGCAATTGCACTTTTACATAATCAACGTTGATTTAAAATGACGCAAAATTCCACAAATGGAATGAAGTTCACGCAGTTTGTTATTGGCCAAAACTATCAAGCCAGATTAGACATTGCATTAAGCCCTGCAAGCATGCAACAAAAATTTTGAAAGATTTAGTTAATTAATTTAATTTTAATATAAAATTAAATATCATATTCATAAAATTTAGTAGAATAATATACGAGTATGTATTGAAATTAGTTCTAGTAAATGTCCAACGGCAATCGATAGCATCCACTTCTATTTCTTTAAGAATTATTATTGTATTCGAATGTTGTTCAAACAAAAGAAATTCGCTCTAAAACTTATATTGTATATTGTACAATATATAATATATGTTAATTATTCGCAAGATTCATCTGGCGCAGAATTCAAGCGATTCATTCATTAATTGCTCTAAACGGGAGACTAAATTTGTGAAGGACGTGAATAGTAAAATTTGTCGTGCTTTCAGAGGAAACATGTAGACACTTTTTGCTCGTTTGTATATTGGACCTTCAGTCATCCGGCTACAAGTAGACGTCTAATATGATTTGTGAAAGGCTCAAAACACTTTGTCGATACACTTTGTTCATATATAGGCATTTCTGGCATCACAAAGCACCGGTGCTGTAAGTGAAATCCTCGAAACCCAACATAACTTAAAGACATAACAGCTTTTTGATAATAAAGTTATAAAAATGTGTGACGCAGACGTATACAATTTGACAATATTATAGATATATATATAATATAGATATTAAAAATAATAATATAAATCGAATTGATAAGTTCGAAGTTCACTTAAGACTTAATCAACTCGACACATATTTCTTCATATACCATGGCGATGAATGACGCCGATATCATTCTTTTATTGGCGGCTACTGTCCCGGTCTACTCATACTCATACGTGTGTGAATGCATTTGCACAAGCTCAATGCAATTAAAAACCTTTCCATGTCCAAATTATGCTCCAGAACCTATTTCAGGTCACGAGGTAAATATGGATATTTTTGTTCTCGCTCCAAATACCTATAGATATTTTCCTCAACACTGCCACTGCTTTAACCGATCTGAGATTTTTTTTATTAATCGCCAACCACTTAATTGTGCTGTCAGTACCAGCAACATAGTCCTGTAAAATGAAGCGCACCCATCGGCTCATTCTCACTTCAGTTTGCAATGCCACTAAACTATTTTGCATGTAAAATGCTCTCCCTCACATGCTTCTTGTATTGATATACATACATACTGCTACTTTGTGCGCTCAACTTCGAGCTTGATTCGAATTTGCCGAGGCATTTTAATAAAGAACGTTATCTCTTCTCTTGCAGGTGTCTCGGCTGAGCTGTATTACGTGCGCGATGGTCAGGTCAACGATTATGCGCTTAATTTTGCCGTTCCTGTGCCGGCAAACGTCAACGAGATCTCCTTTACGTGGCAAAGTCTAACCCATCAAGCGCTGCCATACAGTGTCAACATTATTACATCAGAGCCGTTCGTACTGCCACGGCCAATGTTGAATATTTCACGCATCGGTGAAATTCCGCTGGAGCCACAAACATTTGCTGTCAGTTTAAAATGCTCTGGCACACGGGACGCTGAAGTTGAGGTCACCATCGCCATCGAAATAATACTGGACCGAAAGACGAATAACATAACAGATTTGATGTTCAAACGCAAAAAAATTTGTCTTGCTGGCCCACAGGAAGACGGTCACCATGCGAATATCGGTAGTGGTGTCGGCAATTTGAACAAATATATTAACCAACCGATAGAGGGTATTTTAGAAGATGTAACTAGTGATCATGTGGCACGCGAAAACGAGGGGATTAAGGTCGCTGAGGATGGTATAAATCGACATTCGACTAGTAGTGATGAACAGCATACGATGGATGAAAATTTGTTAGGCGCTGGCCGTATGAGCGGTCCAGGTACTATTTTGCATGATTTCGATCCCATGTTAAAGGAGACACTTGCACCACCTGCCAGCGGTGTAACGACACTCATAATAGGCGGTATACTGGCACTGATACTGGTCGTTACACTAATTGTTATTGCTTACTGCGCTAAGGGACCAACGAAGCGTCAAAATCACGGTGTGCACCTCATTAAAACATCAAGCTTTCAACGCTTACCTACAATATCATCGACTGCCCACAATTCCATATATGTGTGTCCCTCAGTTATCACACCCACTTATGCAACCCTCACACGACCTTTCCGAGAGTACGAACAGGAACCGGAGGAGTTTAATCGTCGTCTAAGTGAATTGACTGTACAAAAGTGTCGTGTCCGACTATCAAGTTTGGTGCAAGAGGGCACATACGGTCGCATCTATAAGGGTACTTACAATGACTGCCAAGAGGTACTGGTTAAAACTGTTCAACATGCCAGTCAAATCCAAGTGTCGCTTTTGCTGCAAGAAGGTATGATGCTATACGATGCGGCACATCCCAATGTACTCTCGGTCTTGGGCGTTACAATCGAGGATTTCACCACACCATTTTTGCTCTATCCAGCGGGAAACAATACTCGAAATTTAAAGCTGTTCTTACAGGAACCGGCATTTGCGCGTAGTGTTACCACCATCCAGACAGTGCTGATGTCCTCGCAACTGGCAATGGCCATGGAACACTTACATAATCACGGTGTAATACATAAAGATGTTGCGGCCCGGAACTGCGTGTAAGTAGTTGCATATATTTTATGTATTTTTGGAGACGGAAGCTTTAATAGAGATATTATTGTTTGAAATATTAATATATTAATATTGTAATCATCAAAACAGTGAGAGTGAGTGAAGATTTCTATAGAGATTTAATGTATTTTGTCAACATATCAACCACAGCTTAACTCAAAACCACTTATGAAATTTGAATAGTTAATAAAATCTGGACTGAAAACTTTTTACATTTCTGAGACGTATTCTCTAGGATAAATACTTTCCATCCTTAGACTTCGAAACATTTTCTACGCCACTTCATACGTTTCAATGACCTTTGTAGAACTTTTCAGAAGTTAATTCGGACTAAAGAATCTCTTTAATAGATGCAATAGCAGAATGTTTATTATAAGTCAGAGTTGACATATGTCTCTATAATAATGAACATAGAGCTATTGCAAAGATGAGATGATGTAAAACTTTCCACTTTTTTGAGTTTGAAACTTTGATCTGAAATCACGATTAAAATATGTATACATATTGCAATATTCGCACCTTTAAGTATTCATTACAGTTTACCATATGGAATATACATATGTATGATCAGAGTAGTGAAACAAACAGTTGCTAATCCTGTTTGGCACATTGAGTAAGATCTATTAGTATATTAAGATTATAATTATCATAAGAATATACGCAACTAAATTTCTTTCCTTTTATCTCATTTATTAGTATCGATGACCAACTGCGAGTCAAACTTACCGATAGTTCGCTGAGTCGTGATCTATTCTCAGCCGATTATAATTGCTTAGGTGATGGTGAAAATCGGCCCATTAAATGGATGTCCCTTGAGACCATACAAAAGAAGCACTACAACGAGGGTAGCGATGTGTGGTCCTTCGGCGTTCTAATGTGGGAGATGTGCACACTGGGTAAACTGCCTTACGCCGAGATCGATCCATATGAAATGGAGCATTACTTGAAGGATGGCTACCGTCTAGCACAACCCTACAACTGTCCAGATGAATTGTAAGTAAATGATTGATACACAAATATCTTTTTAAACATATCTTTCCCATTATTTTTCAAAATTTTTTATTAAGGTCTACAGTCAAACAAATTAAATTTGTTGGGGTTTTTCCTTTTTATTTTTCGTAGATTTACCATTATGGCCTACTGCTGGGCAGTATTACCAACGGAACGTCCATCATTTAGCCAAATGCAAATATGCCTTTCGGAGTTTCACACGCAAATCACAAGATATGTCTAAAGTTCCGAAATAACTTGGAAAAGGTAGACTTTATAATTTAAAGCTGTTGTACATAAATGAGAGAGTGTAGAGTTCTTCAGATGAACACATTACGACTTAAAGAACCCAAAGACAGATAATTAAGTGGAAAGTAGGTATATTCTTATATACATACATATGCACATTTATGTATATAGAAACAGGGCAATATATAAAGGATGCTTTTTAGACATAAGGGTGTGCCATTATGTTTTAAAAATCATTTCGGACAAGTGACCGCCGCTTTTTGCAGGAATTCATTCACATACCGTCTTGTTGGAACGAAAGGTCGTCCACATCAACATCCTCCAATTCAGGAAAGAAAAAGTATTTAATCATGGCTCTATAGCGTTTCCAATTGACTATAACACTATGGTCGACTTCATTTTTTATAGAAATATGAACCAATGATTCCCTCTGCGCGTAGAACACACCAAACAGTGACTTTTGGAGGATGCACCGGCGTCTCAAAATGGTTTGTGGATTATCATCACTCCAAATGCAACAATTTTGTTTATTGACGTACCCATTCAACCAAAAATGAACTTCATCGCTGAACAAAAAATTGTTTGCGTCGCGCGAACCGTAATGGTTCGGTTGGTAATAAATTTGGGCAAGTCTGTTCATTATGAAATGGCAAAGCAAGCTGAGTATAAAACAAGTAACAATTGCCAAAAAGACGAACTCCGAGAAAAGTATTGACTGATTGAAATCCACACGTCTGAAAAAACACCCGTTACCTATACGGGGTGGCTCACGAATCGTGCTACAAAAACAAACCGTAATAACTTTTTTTTAATGAATGTGTAACATTTATTTTTTTTTACATTGTACAGAAAATTTTATTTTATATTAACTAATTATTTTTAAAACTTATGGACCTTCATGTTTAGCCATGCATATGCGACACCTAATTAGAAAATTATTCATTGCCGGCCTGTAGGGTTGAAGTTGGATTGCCTCTATTATCGATTTAATGAATTGCTTCAATTCAATCAGATTTCTGGGTTTTGTTTTGTACACCTCTTGCTTGACATAACTCCATAAAAAAAGTCTGTTGCAGTCAGGTCAGGTGACCTTGGGGCCAGCGTAAAGTGGAGTTTCTTGATATTAATTTGTTTTCAAATTTTCGTTGGAGCTCCACAATAACCGGTATGCTAATGAAAGGGATACGTCTTCGGCTCAGTTCTGGGTAAAAAGACTAGTTTAACATCTTTAAATTACGATGACCATTGACAGTTACTGTTACACTATTTTCTTCAAAGAGGTATGGCCCGACAATACACCTTGATGAAACTGCACACCACACAATGTCTTGTTCTGGGTGAAGTTCCGTCTCGTGGATTATTTCTGGATTTGATTCACTCCATATATGGCAATTTTGCTTGTCTACATTTCCGTTTAGCTCAAAATGGGCCTCATCAGACATAAACAGGCAATTCATCAAGTTATTGTCTTCTTCGGCAAATTCCAATTTTTTTTGTCAAATTCCAGGTGAATAGGCAAATTCAGAGGTTTCACCGGCTGGTTATTTGATCTTTGTACGGAAACAGGTTTAAGTCATCATGAATTATCCGTTGTAATGAACGTCAGTTAACTCCAAGTTACGGCGATAAGTGCGAGTCGAAGCTCTTGGATTTGCCTGAATTGACGATGAAACAGCCGCGATTGTTTCTTGAACACGAGCATACCTATCTCGATGGTACGGTCTTCTTCGATAATGGTCCATTTACTCGGGGGAGTGCCGCCAAAATCCCTTCTGAATTCCCTTTGGACGGAAATGACGGACTGCAAAACATAGCACTATTAAATAATAACCAGCCAAATAAAAAAAAAACAAGTCGATTACACAGAAAAAAAGTTATTACGGCTTGTTTTTCTACCACGATTCGTGAGCTACCCTGTACATAGGTGCATATGTATTTATGAGTGTGTATAAAAAGTAGACGATAGGCAAAGAGAAGAAATATTTTAATAATTTATGTTTTATTGAAATTCGAAGAAAGTGATTAATAAATAAAAAACAGATTGTATAATAAATGACTGGCAACTCAGAAGTGCCACATATGAGTTGAAACAGTAAGTAGAATTGTTCCTCCCGAGAGCTGTAATAAGCTTTAAACAAACAAAACTTAGACAAAATGTTGAATATATCACCCTTACAACTTATTGTCCCCGATGATGGTGAGCCTTCAACAAACACTTAATTTTAAGTAGTATTTACCTAATTATTTATGTAAGTACCATATTTAAGTACTTATGTAGGGGTCCGTGTTTAAGCTTTGATGTAAATGTAAAAATTATTAGGTGATGACAGTTTAATACCACTATGCTTATAATTCTTAAGTTCATAATTACAATAGTATATGAAATGAACGTACACACCCCCAACTGTAATCAATACGAGTATGTAAGCTTACAGGTATGTTAAGTTACTGTTCTCCCACCACTCAGGTCTAGCTCTTATCCCGTGTATTGCATTCATAATTATAAAAAAATTTTAGCTTTTATTTATATTGTCTTTTCCTATAATAAGCGAGTTTTCAACCTGTAATTGCTAAAATGAACAGAAACGAAATAAACGTCCAAAAATTGAATATTTTTAAAATTGACATTTTATTTGGTTTACAAGTATTTATTTGGTAAGTACATCCGCCGCTTAGAAACAGTTTTGCATTTGAAATCATCCGTTTTTATAGGTTTTATAACATTTCAAACACTGTAGATACTAATAAAACCCCTACAATTGTCCCTGTTTTATTTAAACTGTGCCTCGAAACAGATGAAAATGCTAATAAAAATGTATATATGATATAATATTACCCATTGGTAAAAACAAGACGAGAATCTGGTGGCTACAGTTCGCAGCATAATAAAGTTCTGTTAAGAATCATTCTCAAATGATCTATTGAATGGGAACACAGTGAAGCGTTTTGTATGTTGACAACCACAAACCCCAAATCAATACTATTAAAATACATAAATAATAAAAGAAGCTGCCGTAAGTGGTGAACTGCCGGCTGAGCTTTTCAAATAAGGCAGAGAGGAGATAATAAAGTCTGATTGCCGCTCCATATACTAGGTGACGAAGTCAAACAAGACAAAAAAAACATTTAAGCCTTCTCTTTATTCAAGCGAATAACCAGGCGAATGGATTCAATGGTGAGAGAGGACATTAAAAAATACATTAATACTGTTGCTATTGCCTAGTTTTCGGAATATTTGCTTTGCATACCGTAACAGGACTTTGCTTTGCGGATGGCTACTGAAATCAGTTTACTTTAAAACGGTTGAATGAAATATTGAAAGTATTTCAGTTAACGTTAGACAAGAATAAAGATTTTTTGTTTGTTAGGCGATCTCACCAAAGACTTTTCAGCTCGTGTAGTAAACTCTACAACTGTTGCTCGTTGCAGAGGAAGACGATCAGTACTTGGCTTCAAATTGGCACAAAGTTTCTCCTTTTCTGGACATGCTTAAAATTACTAGAACAGTTGGTTGGTCACTCAAAAAGGAGCAAATGGAGAGATAATAAAAGATATTAGTTTAAATAAGGAACGAATACAATAATTGTCTTTTCTGATCTAAGAATTTAGAATGTTTATGTCTTTTGGCTTTGCAGTTCAAATATTAGAGATATAAACGCATAATATATACATAAATCTATCAATTTGTAGTAATTTAGGATTTAGACATTGGACTTAGCTTTCATCTGAGTTACAAAACACCTCCTCGGAAACGACTCTTCTTTTCATGGTTATCCTAATATAAATAGTAGCATATGTACATCCATATAGGTATGCGAATGGCTTTGAATCAAAGTTTTTTAGCGTTGTACTATAAATGAGCATCATTTTAATCAAAAAGAGGTAATGTTTAAGTAGCTGTTTTATTATAGAAATAAAATGATAATTCACTAAAACCATCATTATCTCAAATATCCAATTAGGATGTATAAATTATTATATAATATAACCATAGTTTGTGTTTCTTCATTATCTGATTTCGTTGAATAGAAGAAGAAGAATAAAAGCTATATTTTCACCGAGTCTTGTTGTAGCATCTAGTGAAAGCCATACAATTTATTACAAACTTTGTGCACAATGTTGGTTCACCAGGGCATACAAAATCTGAAATGTACTCCAACACCTGAAATTGGGTCATTGGACTGCATTTTATCAAGCTACTAATCGACATACATACGTGAACACACGCATGAGGGTTTTAAATTTCATTTAGTTATAGTTGTGAAGAAGTCTTCAATTCCATTTCTTCATAATTAAGACGGTTAATGGATTGGTATAAATATATAAGGGTGTTCGTTATTTCCCTACTTGATTTTTTTTGCAAACAAACGCCTTCTGAAATTTCAATTTTGCCCTCAAAAAGAAAATCCAACGTGCTTAGGGATTTAACAAGGGATTCTCTTAAAACATGCAGGGATTTTTGTACTTTGCAAAAAAAATTTTTCTAAAAGAAATCAAACCTACAATTTTGAAAAAATTGTATTAGAATACAAAATTATTTGCTCTACAAAAAAGGCTTAAAGACCTTGTTTATGTTGAATTTTTGTTTTTTAGGGCAAAAACTGAAACTTCAGAGGGCGTTTGCAAAAAAAAAAGCAACTTGGGAATCAATGGACACCCTAATATACCTACACATATTATATTTATTACACACATGAATGCATGTTTTACAAATATTTTATATTTACATATGCATACATATATCATAAATACAGGCAAGCATACATGCACATATACATATTTATATATGTTTAAGTTTATCAAATTTCACTGTAAGCATTTATACCAAAGCGGAACCAAAAAATCACAATTTACAGTAATACGAGTAAGCAATATATTATATAAAAATACCAAGGAATATATTATATAAACGACACATGTTAGTTTTTATAAAAAATATGTTAATTATAAATTAAAACAAGTAAGGAAGTGCTAAGTTCGGATGTAACCGAACATTTTTTACTCTCGCAACTTGAAAGGATCAAAGCCCGGGAAATTACTTCGGATGTTGGACCAATTTTATATTAAAGGAAGTATTGATCCGATTCAACCCATTTTTTGACACAAAGACATACTATTATATTATCGAGAGTTTCATTTATTTATTTTATTATATGAATTTCAATTATATATCATACACATTGACCGATATTTTCGATAAAAAGTCAACTATAGGCACTGGGGTCCACATATTCAATTGGTTCGATTTAAATAATTTTTGGCCACAAGGTGGCATACTCTAAACGCATAATTCACGTACCCTGATACAATAATTTTTGCTTGATTTGCATAATGGAAAATGAAAGAATCAGCTGGAATTTAAAATGGTGTCATATAGGAAATCGGCGTGGTTGTAATCCGATTGCGCCCATTTTCGCACTATAACATCTCAAGATATGGGTTTTCACCTAAAAGTAGGCGGTGGCAAGCCCACTGTTTAATTTTGAACGCAATTCCAATGAAGTCATCTCATACCATCCCAGAGATAAAATTCAATGTCTCTGGCGTGTTTAGTGCCTGTAGTGCTTTAGCGCATACCAAATAACGGTTTTGTACCTTATTGTGGAGCTTAGTTACGGCAATTTATTTGTATTTGATTAACGGCGTTTTGTGGGCGTGACAGTGGTCCGATTACGCCCATCTGCATTACCAACCGTTTACGGTACTAAGGAACATGTGCACCAAGTTTCACAAAGATATCTCAATTTTTAATCAACTTACAGCTTGCACAGACGGACGGACAGACGGGCAGACAGTCATTGAATTTCAACTCGTCTCTTTATATTGATCATTTATATATACATAACCCTATATCTTACTCGATTAGTTTTAGGTGATACAAACAACCGTTAGGTGAAAAAAACGATTATACTCTGTAGCAACATGTTGCGAGAGTATAACAACCCCAAACTGTAATGATCTCCACAAATAAAAATGTTTTTCATAAAAAAACTTGGTTTTAATCGGTCAGTTTGAATGGTAGCTATGTACATATATGTTACAGTGGTCCCACCTTAACAATATATTCAAAGATTGTAGCCTTACTTTAGACAATAATTTGTGTCAAATTTCGTAGAAATATCTCGTAAAATAAATCGGGATTTCACACAAAAACTTCATTTAGATCGGTCTGTTTTTATAGCAGATGTACATATGTTATGTTGGTCCGATATCGGCGACCACAACAAATGAGCAGCTTCTTGGGGAGAAAAGGGCGTGCTCCAAATTTTGGATCGATATCTCAAAAACTGAGAGACTATCTCGCGTATATATAGACAGAAAACGGACTTGGCTAAATCGACTCAGCTTATCCCGCTGGTGCGACTTTATAGGGTTTCCGGCGTTTTAATACTTGATGCACGATTTTGCATTCCAAAGTTAACAGAACTTTGAAGAGAAACGAAAGTGCCTATTTTCTGAAGCAATGGCATCCAAATAATTAGGGAAACGCAATTTTTATTGAATATATGAGAAAAGTGCACAAATTCAGAAATAGCGGGAATTAGCAAATGGACAACTCTGGCTTTTCCCTTTAATCAGTGAAAGAATAAATGGCTTAGTGCTATAGGTTCTCACCTACTTTCAAACATTTATAACTTCTACTTCTCAAATTTTTAACTTATTCTAACGGTATGACTTAAAGCTTCACAGAATTATTTCACAAAAATCGTGTAGCATTTCACAACTTCAATGTGTTCAAAACAATAAGTTCTTACCGAGAGAAACTTTCGGAATTCTTCTAAATATTTTACCATGATTCAATTATATAAAGTTGTTCCGATAGCCAAAAAAACAAAAATTGGTCAAAAGTAATTGGATCCATAATGTCAAAATCAGCCGATTTGCTTTGTATTTTTTTCATTTTATGATTCAAAAAGAAATTTTTAAAAGATTTCAATAAATGAAAATGCGTTTTTTGAGTGATAACAGATTACGAATAGATTGTTAATCACACAAAATCATAAAATTGTAAACAGAAAATTCATAAGAAAAACAAACAACAGTTTTTTTGACATTATGGATACAAACACTTCTTTCGTAAGAGGAAGCACGCTCCGTATCGACACAACATCATAATAATATAATTAAATCATGTATTTTACCAATTATTTTTAAAGTGTTTAGTTCCTAATATATTTATAATATAAGAAAAAAAATAAAACTGTTTTCGTATTACATTTTTGTTGAAAGTTGGAAAATTTTGAAATATGGATGCAACAAATATTTTATACAAAGTCGGTCCATGCCACACCGCACTTATTACAAGTTTAAATATGCTTTTCAAAGTATGTATGTATATGAATATAAAGAATAACATCGTTTCGTAATATTTCTTTAGGACTAAGTGCACTGCTTCCAAGCTTTTAACTGTTCCTAGATATACTTGTATATCACTCCCTTGGATTTCGAAATAAAAAAATTTACTAATAAATGCAGAACAACAATTATTGAATCTTGAACTGCCGTTAACATGCGAAATTAACAATTCTATATTTTTTTTAACATGGTACAATGGAAAGTTGTTGGATTAAAAATCAAAATATATGGTACAATTAAATTAATAAATGCACATGAAAATCACTTTTATAACTAGTTAACCTTTAAAAATGTGTTATAATTCAGAGACATTATTTCCAACTGATCACCGATTGATGATTTCGTAGGAGAAAAACCACAAAGCGCGGATTCAAAAAACAGAAAAAAAAATTAGCAATACAAATAAATACATTCATATATTATAAAAATTATGTATATAATGAAATTTTAATAATAAGAAAATAATAAACTACGCTTCAGTTACTAAGTTCAGTACATCGCCTTATTCTTACTTAAAAAACAAAGTTGGGATCAAGAAACAAATCTGTCGTTTTTGGTACATGGTATATCCTCTGATCAAATATGACGCGGACTAAAAAAAAAATATTTAATATATAAATGGAGCACCATTCGCTAGATTATTGGTCACTTTTGAATTCATATATATAAACCCACGTCTCGTCACCAGTAATGATATATTTGATGAATGTAGGGTTCTCAGCTACGATGTCAAGCATATATTATATTTTGCGACCTCTACTCGACGTCGGGTTTGCAAAATATTCAGCTCTTTTGTTAAGAGTCTAGTATTAACATGCTTCATGCCGAAAACATTAAACAAAATGTGTTGAGTCGCCCATAAGAAATGTTGAGATCCTCTACTATTTCTCTGATGTTTACAACGATTTTCAAGCAATATTTCTTTAACTTTTTCGATATTATCATCATGGACGACTTTTTTTTAATTTAAAGTGAGTTACAATCAATACATTTAAGTTCTGAATATAACATCGTTCTAATGGCCTCCACGACATGGTTTTGCAGGAACGAATTCGATGAACCCAATTTTCGAGCACTTTTTCATATAAATCAAGTCGTATGTCATGAATAGCACGTTCTATATGGACTTCTAAAGCTAGAAGAGAGTCTGATTTATTGTTAAAGACCAATCCAAACCAGATATTATCAAGATACTTCCTCTAATTGCGGCCAATGTTACCAGCTTCATTTCGAAAAAAGTACTGACCGATGATTCCTACAGACCAAGTAAATGTAATGGTTGTTCATGAATAATTTGTGGATTATGAAAGAAAGTTACAGATCATGACGTATTAAAAATGGCCGAAACGACACTTAGAATTTATAACATCTCTATTACAATAGAAAACCAAAATTTAAAGCAAAGCTTTACTTAGATTGAAATCTGATCTGAAAAAAGAATAGAACCCTTTCGGTAGATAACTTTAGTAAAGACGTGTATGAAAGTAAGAGATGAAAGAAGTTAATTTAAAATGTTCGATTCTCAAATTATTATTCACCTAGACTTGAAGTGTAGGTATACCATTGTGCAGCGCTTCAGTGAAAATATGTTCGAATATTTCTGAAGGCAGGTCAGAATTTACTATTTTTTTAAAATACGATATAATTCAAAACAAAAACCAAAGAAATTTAATATTATCATATTAAGTGACTCCTTCCTATTTCACATAATTATATCTGTGTCTGAAAATCATATCAAAATACACCAAAAATACTTAAATGCTTTGTAAAAAGGATTACCCATATCATTGCATACACCCATATATACTATATACGAGGTCTGTTCAAAAAGTATCGCCAATTTTGTATTTCTCAATAAAATGTGTATTTATTCATGAATATCTATTTTGTCCCCTTCAAAGTAATCACCCCTAGATATAATGCACTTATGACAACGTTTTTTTCCAATCCTCAAACCACTTAAAAAAGTAATTTTTTGTGATCTTGTTCATCTCCTCCTTCGTGGCAGTTTTTATCTCCTCAATCGTAGCGTAGCGTCGTCCTTTCATAGGCCTCTTCAGTTTTGGAAACAAAAGAAGTCACAGAGGGTCAGGTCTGGGGAATATGGTGGCTGCGGCACCATTAATGTGTTGTTTTTGGCCAAATACGCGGTTAGTTTGAAAAGTATCGCGAATTTCAAGTTTTCGCGGGCTACGTGTATCGCATCTTCACCGATATCTATAGGGTGATCCATTTCGAGGCTTCCTACTTTTTTAAAGAAAAAAAAACACAAAAAATTCAAATTTAATGGGAAATGTTTATCATCATTCGAAAGAACATTCTTTGGCATTTATTTTTTGAAGATTATGTCTTTCAAATGTTAGCCGCAGATACGTCTCAAATGGTCCATCCGTTGAGTCCACTTTTCGATGACTCGTTCGAGCATTTCGACTAGTAACCGGGAAATGAAACGCGTGATGGTTTGCTCCAAGCCCTGAATTGAAACAAGATTGTCTACATTGACCTTAGACTTTACATATCCCCACAGGAAAAAGTATACATATGTTCTTGGTGGCCAATCGACCATCCAAAAACGTGAAATTGTCTGCTCACCGAAGTGTTCTCTCAATAAATCCATTAATTGATGTGATATGTGGGAAGAGGCGCCGTCCTGTTGAAACCAAATGTCGCTGAGATCACGAGCATCAATTTTAGGTACCAAACAGCCAAACAAAAGGCGCAATAATGGTCGCCATTGATGGTTACGTTCTCACTGACATCATTTTTGAAGAAATATGGACCGATGACTCCACCGGCCCACAAAGCACACCAAACCGTTGTTTTTCCTGGATGAAATGGCAACTCTTGAATCTCTTTGGGACACGAGTCATGCGTGATTTGTCAAAAAAAGGCTATGAAGAAAGTACCTTTACTTAGATCACCCGTTACTTACCTCATAGCGTAAGTACGTTATATCTATAGGTGATTACTTTGATAGATATCCTTGAATATATAAACACTTTCTTAAGAAATACAAAATTCGCGATAATTTTTGAACAGACCTCGTATGTATACGAGGGTATATAAGAATTCGTTCAAGTAAAGAAACCATAAAAGAGGTCAATGACTGATTTATTTTGAATTAATGTTGTATATTGAATTTATAAATATAAATTTAAGCCGCAAATGTTGTTATACCGAGCAATTATGAAATTCAGTTCATTGTCGCCATAAAACACCTTTAATGTTCAATTTGCTGGCTGTAAAAAATCTAAGTTGCACAAAATACTCCGAAGAAACGCTTGTTGTGCTACACTTTGCGAACGTATTTCTTCCCTCTTTACCTTTTGCTCTACTTTCTTACATCAGCTGCGTTAACAGTTTTCAATTTGGTGTGGCGTATGCATGTTGTAGCTCGGCCAAAGCCAAAGTGTTGCAAAAGAAATTCATTTTCGATTCGTATAAAAGCTGTGGCGTATGTGCAAATCGTCAGCAGTCTAGCGGTTCTTTTATATACTGAGGTACAATCCAATAACTGAGTAGAACATGAATTCTTTCGTCAGCTTCGTTTTATTCGCAGCTATCGTCGTTATCGGCGTAGAAAGCGCCATAACTGATAACTCCAAGCAAGCTATGGTATCTTCATCGTACGGTGGTGGATATGGCGGTGGCTCTTCACCATCCTACTCGGCTCCAGCTCCTGCGTCAGCGCCTACATATGGCGGTTCTTCATCATCATACTCTGCTCCAGCTCCTGCTGCAGCGTCCTCATATAGCGGCTCTGCTTCATCATACTCCGCACCAGCACCTGCACCGTCATATGGAGTTTCTGCACCATCGTATTCGGCACCAGCAGCTCCTGCACCAACCTACTCGGCACCAGCACCTGCACCATCCTATTCAGCACCAGCAGCTGTAGCATACGCTGCACCTGCTCCAACATCGGCATCATCTTATCCTGCACCACCATGCCCTAAAAACTATATCATCAGTTGCCAACCCTCTTTGTCGCCTGTGGCTTGCAGTGCCCCCAGTAGAAGCGGTGGATACGGTTCAGTGGCCGCTTATTCCCAATATGTGCCATCGTACGTACTGCCTCCACTTGGATACCGCTATTAATATATTCAATAGGATAAAATTTTAGTCAATTTACCCGGATTTAGCTTGTGTTCCAATATTTCATTTAATTAATCTTATTTTAAATAAACTATTTTTCATTTAAAAAAAATACATATTTTTTTTTATTTGTCGACAATAGACGTTCCCCAAAGCTTGTGAAGCAATACGCTGCTATGCCCAGCAACGTTCCTAAGCCTAGCTATGCAGCAAACACCCATGATATATCATCTTGTGTGGCAGTATTAGGTCAACCTCTCAGATGGTAATAAGGACATCATGATTTACCTAGCCAAATAAGGAACCAAATCTTTGACAAGGCAAGATAATATAATTACATACTGGACTTCTGGAGGTGTATTGTGCTTGTACTGCTCTTTACCATGAAAATATATGTATAAATACATCTTAAAATGAAATTTTTAAGTTTCCTTGTGTTTCTTTCATGGAGTCATGGTAGGTATGTATAGTATATGTGAGTCGAAATCTTTGAAAAAATCATAATTAAAACAAGTAAAAAAAGTAAGGAAATCATATAGAAATTTATATGTGAGTTATTATTAGTTTTATTATTAACAAATAAATCGAGTTGATCTTGTGGATTATGAAATAATTTATTAAATATTTTAGGCAACATTTTAAAGGAAATTATAATCCTGTTTATATTCGGACTCTCTCTAATAAACCAGCTATCTCTGTTTCTCGATTCCTAATTAGGTATTTGTTCAGACAATACGTTCCCTGCTGGATATGTCGTCATAATTACAAAAACTAGCTGAAAAACAAATTGACATTCTTTTTCTCAAGCAGATACATTTAAGCCAAATACTCGACCACGTATAAAACCTAAGATACCTAGAGTGTGAAACATTTTAAAATATTTGAAAAACTTTATGCTATGCGAAATTTTTCAAAGAGTTGTGCTAACGCCGCATTTCTACAGGCAATGTACATTGCTAACCATTTTTCAAATACATTACCATTGAGGTTGGCAATGTTCTCGTGTGGGCAATTGCTATCATGAAATAATCATTCTCGAAATGACGTCGAGTAGGTATGTTCGAGCTGATAGAGCGCATATTTGAGCTCTTAAATCGTTTAAAAATTTTATCAGGATAACAAAAATGTATGTGGAGGATGAAAAAAGTAAAAATCTACTTTTTTCTACAAATAAATTTTTTTGAAAAATAAGATTTCATATTTTAAGACTTAAATAATTGTTGCATAAAGTTTATTTACCAATTCAATAATTAAATATGAGCAATGATATTTACATAGGCTAACAATTATCATTAAAATATTAACCCCACATATATGTATAATATATAAATACGTATAGCTTCAGTTCAACTGTTTTTACTTTTTTTCGAAATATTTCCAATTAAATTTATAGACATATTTTGCCCTCACTGTAAAGGGTAAAATTCATTATATAGGATATATGAATGAACCGACTTTATCAACTTTTGTCATCAAGTTACATTGTGATAATTATAACATTATCATCTATTTTTACTCTTTTTTATTCTTTAATAATCAATTTTTATACTCTCGCAACATGTTGCTACAGAGTATATTAGTTTTCTTCACCAAACGGTTGTTTATATCCCCTAAAATTAATCGTGTTAGATATGCAGTTATACATATGTTTATATATAACATATGACGTCCGTCCGTCCGTTTTTCGTGCAAGCGATAACTTGAGTAAAAATTGAGTTTTCTTGATGAAACTTCGTACACATATTCCTTCTGCCATAAGAAGGTTAATATTGGAGATGGGCGTTCGGATCACTACGGATAAAGGGCTATATCCAAGGCATAAAATAATTAAGAGAACTGAATTTAGGTATAGGAATCGAAGTAGGAAGTTTTGTGGTTTGAAAATTTTTAAAAATTTAACACAGTAATTAGAGTGGCAAAAGTGCTTCGACAATTGGTTTATACATATGTAAAAGTGTTTAGGATTTTATTATGAGAATATTTTGAAAAACAGTCAAGCGATTTTCGATTCTCTAATAAATAAAAAGACAACCCACGTATTAATGGTTTAGCGCGGAATATGAATGGAGTTGATCTAGACCTTGGTCTAAACTTAATTAATCACTAAAGGGAAAAATAATTCCTTATATAAACTGATAGAAATTTTGAATGTAAAAATTATACTTGTATTATTGTGAAAAAAGTGTGGTATGCTCGAGGTGTTTGGTGCTCTTGGGTGCCAAGAAACATATGTAGCAACTTTCATCAATAGATATCAATTTATACTCAAGTTATCGCTTGCACAGAACAAGTTACAAACATAGGTGAAGCTAATAAAAGCGTTATACAAAGTCGCAGATCCTTTGTAATTAAATTGCATTTATATTAAGTGAATATAAAAATTTGCAAAACTAATCATGGAATCATCAATTCCAGGTTGTTATTCAAATATGTTGCTAACATTTGTGCTAAGAAATATATGTGAAATTATATTTTTAGTGTATACAATATATGAAGTGCAAAACAAATTGATGACAGGAAGTTAAGCTAAGATTCAAACGTCTATTAAATACCTGAACAAATACGTGTTATTTGAAAGAAATTTACCTTGCTCATCATTGCGCTTCAAAAGATATGCTTGCACTTATAATAATCTTTCAAATTAAATTGATTAATCAAATATTCTTCTGGATTGTGCCTTGTGTGGATAACGTTGTTTTTGGTGTTGTTACTATTTCACCTTTACTGTTGTTCTACTGTTGGAGTTTCGTTGGATTCGCTCTTGTTGTTATTTTATATTTTTGTTTTTTGTTTTGTTTTAATATTAATTAATATTAACATACTTAAATTAACCTCTGAAAAGATGTTTGGTACTAAATTTGTACACGGTGTCGGTGAAGTGAATACAAAATACCATGAAAAACTAAATTATGCTAAATGCCCAATCTATGCCCCATACCTAATCGACCTAAGTGAAGAGGAAATCATTAAAAACTTATCTGACCAAGGAGTTGTTGAAGTGTACAAATTTTCCAAAAATATAGAAGGAAAACCAAAACATACCGGAGTCTGTCTCCTTACTTTTGATAACTACCAACTTCCCAACCACATAGATGTCACATGGCATTCAGTTAAGGTTAGCCAATATTTTCCAACCTCTATGCAAAGCAATCAACAAAAAACGTAAGCGAAAAAACCAGTTTGGAGCATAATTCAGATTAACAACAAAACCTAACATCGTGATGTTTGATGTTGATTTCCTTTCCGCAAATCACAAACAGTGATAACGAACTATACGAAAAAAAAACATTCTACCTGCTCAAGAAAACAATGAAAGTCCTTCCTAAAACAAAACAATAATGCTTCTTATAGCTTTGCCTACAATAACAAGCAAGTATCGAAAAAGAACAAAATTCTAACCCAAATGCTTGACACAATTCTTCTTTCACCAGTCCTTCCCATACAAACAACAAAACTTCATCATCAATAGAAACCTAGTCCCACAATATTAATCATATATACCACGGATATTTCAATAACTTTCACGAATTGCAGCTACTAATTAAAGACCTGAAACCTTCAGTGTTAAGTTTCCAAGAAACACATATTTGGCAAATCAGGAAACAAGGTGTTGCAATTTTGGTAAAAGAAGACATACCTCACAATTTGGTTTTTACCAATAACACCTTACTCACTATTGCGATTGAGATATTATTTAATCTAAAACTAACAATAGTCAATCCCTACATTCCCCCAAACAAAGTTTCTCTTGCTCAGATATCTTAAATATTTTAAATAAAACGCAAAATCCTATACTTTGGATGGGCGATTTCAACTCATGGAGCACGATCTGTGGTTCTTCTCTATTAAACACAGACAGAGGTACAAATATACAGAAGATTGAAGATGTTTTATTAAGCAGCAACCTCATAGTTTTGATAGTCCTACACACTTCTTCACCCATCAACCGTTCACTCGTGTAGATGTCACGACATGTTCCTCCAATATTTTTCCATTATGTTCTTGGAAGGTCCTTAGTGACCTCCATGGTAGGGATCATTTCCCATTGAAAATAGAAATCGGATTTTACCCAGACACGTTCATAAAAAAATTTAAACCAATTTTAAATAAACCCAATTGGGAGAAATACAATGATCTCTGCTCATCAATATCTAGAAAACTCTTTGTTTCGAATAATGTTAATCAAGAGGCCGCACTTATACGCAAAATAATATGTTCGCAAGCATACCACACCATCACGAACACATATCAACACCGATATAAACCATGGTGGAATAGTGAATTAGAAATCCTTCGATCGCAAAAACGCAAACGCTGGTATAAATGTAAAAGAGCGCGCAACCTTCTTGATCTTTTAACATATAAACGCGACAGTGCCATCTTTAAATGACAAACCAAAAAGGCTAAGAAAATATGTCTGGAAGAATTTACTGAAAATATTAAGTCCAAAACCTCTTCTCAACATATTTGACGAGATATAAGTTGCCTGTCTATTATAATCAGTTACTTAAACACCCAATCTGGATTAACTAACGACCTGAATATCATGGTAAACTCGTTCGCCACGTTCTGGAGCTCTTATTCAAGAGACTCTACTTTCACAAAACAGTTTGGGCGGAAAAACAAAAATCTGTAGGCCGTAAACTTTTACCTTACGATAATCTTAGCAATTCAGCGCTAAATTTAGAATCTAATATTTCCGATGATGAGTTTGATGACGCACTACCCAACTCCAGAGGTAAAACATCTGGTGTCGACAAGATTACCTATGACATGTTAAGACACATCACACATGACATTAAAAAATGACAGTAAATCTTTACAATAAAATACTTTCAGACGGTATATACTCCCAAAATTGGAAATCGTTCCAATACCGAAACCTGGTAAATCTTTACCAGAACTTACAAGCTTTAGGCCTATTTCTCTCTTTTCTTGTTTAGGAAAGGTTTTGGAGAAAATAATCTTCAAACGTTTAATGTGGTACGCAGAGAAGAGTAGAATAATCAGTCACAGTCAAAAAAGTCGCATTCAGAAACAATCAAGGTACAATATACCCCCTTTTACACTTCGAGCACCATTCCTTCAAAATTATTATCAACAAGGGGCTCGTTATCTGCCTTAGCTTGGACTTTGAAAAAGCTTATGATCGTATCGGACTTCATAAAGTTCTACAAAAATTAGCAAAATGGAAATGGTGACCAAAAATATATAATACAACCTACTTAAACATTTTTTAACAAACCGAAAATTTCGGGTTTAAACTCACAATAATTTTTCTCACTGTTTGCCCGCAGAAAATGGAGTTCCTCAAGGTTCCCATTTATCGGTGGTCATATTTACAATTGTATTTAATGAAATCAGCGAGATAATATCCAATTTTCCAGTCTACTACTGTATGTATGC